GGGGGCTCAGAGGTGGATTTGGGGGTCCCTAGAGGTGTGGGGCAGGTTTGGGGGGCTCAGAGGTGGATTTGGGGGTCCCTAGAGGTGTGGGGCAGGTTTGGGGGGCTCAGAGTTTGGGGGACCCTGGGATGGGGGAGGGACAGATTTTAGGGTTCCCAAACACCTCCAGGTGTATCCAGGTGTATCCTACCTGCCCCCAAACATCTCCAGGCCCTTGCAGGTGTATTCCCAAGCACTTCCAGGTGTATCCAGGTCCTTCCAGGTGTATCCAGGTGTATTCCCAAACATCTCCAGGTCCTTCCAGGTGTATCCAGATGTATCCCCAAACACTTCCAGGTCCTTCCAGGTGTATTCCCAAACATCTCTGGGTCCTTCCAGGTGTATCCCACTACCCCCAAACATCTCCAGGTCCTTCCAGGCGTATGCAGGTGTATTCCCAAACACTTCCAGGTCCTTCCAGGTGTATCCAGGTGTATTCCCAAAGATCTCCGGGTGTATCCAGGCGTATCCCAAGTCCTTTCTCTCTCTCCCCACAGTTCCTGGCGGTTTGTGCCCCCCTGACCCGTTCCCACCCGGAAGTACTTCCTTTCCTCACTTCCCGCCACCTCCGCGCCCAACCAGAATTCCGTGCTTCGGCCGAATTCCGGAACATCCTCAGTCGTCTCCTGCGCCGCGTCCAGAGCCGCCGCGGAAAAACTTACGTCTACATCAACGAGCTCTGCACGGTGCTCAAGGCCAGAGCTCTGCGAAGGCGGATCCAGCTCCGACCCCTAGAACCTTCCAAGTCATCCCAGAATTCCATAGGAACCTCCCAGAATTCCATAGGCACCTCCCGAGGTCTTCCCGGGGAGGCTGAGGCGTCTCCGTGGGGTTTGGAAGGATCTGGAAGAGGTTCCGAGAGGTTGGAGGTGATTGGAGATGGTCAGGAGGTCATCAGGTCATCCCAGAATTCCAGAGGGGGATCCGAAGGTTGTCCTGGGTCGTCTCAAGGTCTTGGGTTGTCTTCAAGTCTTCTTGAGTCAACTCAAGATGTTGGATCATCCCAAGGTCCTGTTGGGCCATCCCAAGGTCCTGTTGGTTTGGCCCAAGGATTTGTCCCATCCCAAAATTCCAGAGGAACATCCCAAGATGTTCCTGGATCTCCTGGAGAACCTCAAGGTGGTGTTGACTTGGCCAAGTTGGGTCTTCCTGGAGTATCCCAAGGTCCCAGTAGTCCTCGTTGGAATTCCAGAGGGACATCCCAAACTTCTGAAGCTCTTCAGAATTCCAGAGGTTCATCCCATACTCCCAACAGCTCATCCCAGTGCCATACTGGGATTGCTGAGCCTCCCAATTGCTCATCCCAGTGTCCTACTGGGACGTCCTCGAATCCCACCAGTTCGGCCCAGGACTCTGGAGATCCATCCCAGTATCCTGCTGGAGCTTCCCAGTATCCCAGTACCTCTTCCCAGTGTCCCAATGCCTCATCCCAACATCCCAGTGGCTCTTCCCAGTGCCCACAAGGTCCATCCCAGTATCCTGGAGCTTCATCCCAGTACTCGGAGGCTTCATCCCAGCATCCCAGTGGCTCATCCCAGTACCCAGAGGCTTCATCCCAGTACTCCAAGGCTCCTTCCCAGTGCTCAGAAGCTTCATCCCAGTATCCCAAGGCTTCATCCCAGTACTCGGAGGCTTCATCCCAGTACTCAGAGGCTTCATCCCAGTATCCCAAGCCTTCATCCCAGTACTCCAAGGCTTCTTCCCAGTGCCCAGAAGCTTCATCCCAACATCCCAGTGGTTCATCGCAGAATCCCAGAACTTCATCCCAGTGCCCGGAGACTTCATCCCAGTACCAGGAAACTTCCTCCCACCATCCCAGCGGCTCCTCCAAAACTTCCGGCGCCTCTTCCCAACCTTCTCCTCGCGCTTCCAAGCGCCAAATCCGTTACCTGGAGAACCTTCTGCGCGTCTACGCCGGCGAAATCCGTCGGCTGCAGGAAAGGGAGTTGGATTTCCAGGATTTGGATAGCGCCGACTCTCCGTACCTGCAGGAGAACAGGCTCAAGAGGAGGATGATGAGGATTTTCCGGAGGCTTTGCCAACTCAAGGAATGCAGCAGCCTGACGGGAAGAGTCCTGGAGCAACGGATTCGCTTCCGGGGCACGCGATACCCCGAGGTCAACCGGCGCATTGAGAGGTGCTGCCGCTCGCAACCGCTTCCCGCGCGCCGCGGCCTTGTTTCCGGCCCACAGATCCTACTTCCTCCCCACTTCCTCTCAATTTCCGCTCCCATATCCCCTCCCACTTCCTCCCCACTTCCTCTCCGTTTCTGCTCCCATATCCCCTCCCACTTCCTCTCTGTTTCCGCTCCCATATCCTCTCCCACTTCCTTTCCACTTCCTCCCCTCTTCCTCTCCATTTCCTCTCCCACTTCCTCTCCCATTCCTGCCCTGTTTTCTGGCCACTAACTCCCACTTCCGCTCCCACTTCCTCTCCCACTGCTGCTGTGGCGCAGCCTGCTTTCCTGCTGCCAGCTCCCACTTCCGCTCCCGCTTCCTCCCCACTTCCTCTCCCATTTCCTCTCCCAGTCCCTCCCAGTCCTTCCCAATCCCCTCCCATTTGCTCCCAGTCCCTCCCAGTGCCTCTATATCCCCCATAACACAATCTCTGTGCCCCCTAGTGCCTCCCAGACAGACAGGAGAACTGTTTCACTGTCAGCTTTCACTAGTAGGAGAGATATACTATGAAGTGTTCTGAGTGATGTCCAGTGCCTCCCAGTGCCTCCCAATCCTTCCCAGCCCCTCCCAGTGCCTCCCATCCCCTCCCAGTGCCTCCCAGTGCCCCATTCCCAGCCCGGTTCCTCTGTTCCCTCAGGTTCATCAACGGGCCGGACGTGTTTCCGGACTACTCAGACATCCTGCGGGAGATCCGCGAGGCCTCGTCGCGCCACGCGCTGGGGCTGGGCCGGCGGCAGATGGAGAACATGGCGCAGGAAGCTTTCCGGGAAGTTGGGAATCGTCTCCAGGAACGAAGACACCTCGACCTCGTCTACAACTTCGGCAGTCACCTCACCGACCAGTACCGCCCGGGTACCGCAGCGCTTCCTGCAGCGCTTTCTGTCTCATTTCCCGTTTCCCCACCCCTTTCCTGTCCTGTTTCCCACCCCATTTCCTGTCCTACGTCCTGTCCCATTTCCTACACTTAGCCCCAGTTTTCCTCCTTCCTATCCCATTTTTTTCCTGTGGGAATGAGCAGGAAATGAGGGGGAAACACGAGAAAGGAGGAACTGGAAGCTGAAATGAGCAGAAAGAGGAAAACCAGGCAAAAAACTGGAAAAAGAGGAGGAAATGGGGAAAAATAGGAGGGCAAAATGGGGAGAAGGCAGGAAGTGGGGAGGAAACGAGAAGGAAGTGGGGAGGAAAGAGGGGTGGGGAATGAGCCAGGAGTGGTGGAAGTTAGCCGAAAGTGATGGGAAATGAGTCGGAAGTGGTGAGAAATGAGCCGGGAGTGGTGGGAAATGAGCCAGGAGTGGTGGGAAATGAACCAGGAGTGGTGGGAAATGAACCGGGACTGGTGGGAAATGAACTGGGAGTGGTGGGAAATGAACCAGGAGTGGTGGGAAATGAACCAGGAGTGGTGGAAAATGAACCGGGAGTGGTGGGAAATGAACCGGGACGGGTGGAAATTAGCCGGAAGTGGTGGGAAATGAACCAGATGTTGTAGAAATGAGCCGGAAGTGATGTGGAAGTGAGGGGAAAGTGTGTCCCAACCTCCCCCCGCGCCCCCAGGGATGGACCCGGCGCTCTCCGACCCTTTGTTGGCTCAGAGACTTCGTCGCAATCGTCGCTTGGCTCTGTCGCGCCTGGATGACGTCATCGCCCACTACACGCAGCGGCAGGAAGAGGATGAGGAAGAGGAAGAGAGATGCAGGAGGAAGAGGAGGGCGAGGGGCAGTGGCAGCTGGAAAACCTCCCCAGGGACTCCCAAGGTGGGAAATGGGGGGAGGGGAAATGGGCTCAAAGATGGAGGAGGATGGGGAGGAAGTGGGAGAAGAAGAGGAGGAAGGAGTGGGAGAGGAAGGGCAGGAAAGGGAGGAAGAAGTGGGAGAGGACGGGGAGGATAGGGGAGGATGTGGGAAAGGAAGGGCAGGAAAGGGGGAGGAAGAAGTGGGAGAGGACGGGGAGGATGTGGGAGAGGAAGAGGAGGAAGAAGTGGGAGAAGAAGAGCAGGAAAACCCCTGGGATGGAAATTTTGGATTTCCTAGAACTTCCCTTTCCCTCTCCAACTTTTCCTCCCCAGGGGAAAGCACAAGAGGAAGAGGAAGAAGAGGATGATGAGGAGGAAGAAGATGACGAGGATGAGGATGAAGATGAGGAGGAAGAGGAGGAAGAGGAAGAAGGAGATTCCTCTGAGGTTGAAGGCCAAGGGGAAGTCAAGGAGGAAGAGAAGGAGGAAGAGGAAGGAAGAGAAGCTACTGCAGCTCAGGGTGGGGACTGGGGGGGATTTGGGGGTCCTGGGTGAAGG